GGTTGAACTAGTTTACAATCCCACCAACAGTGTAAAAGTGTTCCTATTTCTCCACATCCTCTCCAGCACCTGTTGTTTCCTGATTTTTTAATGATTGCCAAGGTTTATCTTCTTCCCTTCTCTAGATCTTCATGAAGCCTTCTTGAGGTATGATTGACATGTAAAAAGATATATATTTAATGTATCTATCTCAGTGAGTTAGGGGATAAGTGTACACCCTTGGAACCATTTCCCACTTCAAGGTCACAAACATATCCTTCCCCTCCCAGAGTTTCTTCCCACCCTCAATATTATTTATTGGGTTTTGTGTGTGAGAGAACACACTTGTGATCTTTCCTCTTAGCAATTTTCAGTATAAATACAGTATTGTTAGCTGTTGGCACTAAGCTGTATAGAGCTCTAGAACTTAACTTATCTTCCATAACTGAAACTGTACTTTAACCATTATCTCATTTCCCCTCCTCCCAGTCCTTGGCATCCGCCATCATGCTCTGCTTCTTAGTTTGATATACAAGTGAGACTTTTAGCTGTGTTATCTACCAGGGTTATTTGGGAGTTGCCTTCCCCCATGCATCTGTATGCACCCAAGAGAACCCAAGATCCAAAGCCTGAAGTCAGTCTGGGCTTTGGATGCATGTCCTCTCCCTTGAACCAATAAAATGTTATATCTGACTATGTAGAATTGTTTCATGGCTTAAATTGTTGAGTACTTTAAAAAATAATGCTGGACTGAAAATTCAGAAGTGAAAGTTCAAGTTACTAATTATCCAACTATGTTACTTGAGGTATTTCAAGAGATATTTTGTGGATTCAGTTCCTGTTTATTGCCAACTAGGTCCTCTCTTCCCATTCCCATTCTGTGTCAGTGATCAGAGTGAAAAACAATTGTTGCTTTTTTATAGGCAACTTTATTATAATATGGTGGCCAAATGAGCTACTGTAGCAAATGGCAGTACCGCTCTAGTATTATTCTGGCAGTCTTACTCTGGATCCATAGCTATCTGTTGTTACAGTTTTCTATGTAATGTCACTTGGTCAAACTTAAGAGCCATGGTTTTGGTGGAGCATGGTGGCTCAGTGGCTAACGGCTATAATCCCAGCACTTTGGGAGATCAAGGCAGGTGGATCAGTTGAGGTCAGGATTTCGAGACCAGCCTGGCCAACTTGGTGAAACCCTGTCTCTACTAAAAATAGGAACAATTAGTCAGGCGTGGTGGCACATGCCTGTAATCCCAGTTACTCAGGAGGCTGAGGCAGGAAAACGACTTGAACCCAGGAGGCAGAGGTTGCAGTTAGCCAAGATTGTGCCACTGCACTCCAGCCTGAGTGACAGAGGAAAAAAAAAAAAGCCATAGTGTCATTTTTATTTTGCCTTTGTTGTCATCTAATATGTTACAGATATACTTGATGTCTAATAAGATTTCAACTTTATTTACAAAGTCATTTAACCTTCCCAATAAGCCATGAAACCTCAAAAGTAATAGTAACTGCTGCCTTTTAAAAATGTTCAATAAACCAACTTTCTTTCATTTTTTAGTTTCCTCATGGTTCAAAATAATTTATCTGTAGTAAATGCTTTCAAGGGAGGGAAACCACTTATTCAAAGAGCAGTAGGGGATATAAACTCTTGTTTTATATCTCTGCTAACATTAAACCATATTCTTAGGGACTTTAGGAATCATGTAACAACAACCCTACTTTATCTTTTGAGAGTAGAACTTGATTTTCTCTCGTTCCTCTTGGCTTCCTGTATCATTCTGTTCGGAAAAAATGCTATGTCTGTCACTGATGATTTTTATTGAATTGGCCAGTTTTTGTTATCCTAAATAATATAATCACCAACTAATGTCCTTTGTGCATGTTATGTAAGCACAGTCATTGCTTACACGAAAGCTCACTTCTCATGCCTATATTACATGTATTATACCATATTTACTTTAAAATGTTACCTAAAATCCATTAAAACCATAAGGCAACAAAAGTCTTAAATTTGAAATGCTGTCGTTTCAGAGCAATAAATTCTCTGAAATGTCCAATGTGAAAGTTTCCCTATAATACTGTCTTCTTTGGTTAAGATAGTTTAATTTTTGCAGTTGATTGTAAATTGAAAGAGGGGTACTCTTTTTCCCCTATAATTTTTTTCCCTTCATTTTGACAGTTCTAAAAATAAAATGTCTGGAATTCTCTGCTATCCAGTTCAGTAACCACTAGTCCTATGTGACTGCTTAAATTTAAATTAGTTAAAATATAATTAAGATTTCTGTTTCTTCATCAGAGTAGCCATGTGGCTAGTGGCTAACCGTGTTGGACAACACAAGTGAAGAATATTCCCATCATCACAGAAGGTTTGATTTGACAGCTCTGGACTCGATTTTTTCGAGTTTTAATTTTGAAAGATCAAAATTAGGAGTCAAAAGTTAATGTCTTTTATTATATTGTATAAATGATTCCAATGCAAAGATCTCTACCCGCAACTTTTTAAAACTTTTCTCTTTTTGCCACTTTGGAATCTGTTTTGGTTGTAATTGATCAGTTTCTACATATGTAGGATATATTATTATAGAATAGATCTGGGGTTTCTTCTGATATTTATCTCCACTTTCATATTTGTAATGAGCAGGCAACTTGAGACAGGAAGAGATTATTGAAAAAGAACGTTATAGGCTTTGAGGTTTTTCAAAGGTTTGTAGTTCATACTTAGTGTCAGTTAAAAGAGAAGTTTCGTTACCTTGTGGTTTTAATGGATTGTAGGTGAATATTTTTAAGTTAATATGGTATAATACATGTAATAATAGAAGTGAGCTTTTAATAGTGTCTAATTTTTATTTAATCATGCTAAAGATTGAGAAAGTAAATCCTTTGTGTAATTCATAGTCTCATGCATGAGTTGTTGACTTAAGAGCTTTGACAGATGGGACAAAGGAGAAAAGTCAAACTGAGCAATGGGTGCTTTGGTGGGATTAAGAGGATTGGTCAGAGGAATAAGAAAATCCCGTGTCCAGGGACTGTAGGGGGTGGACCTTAGAGGCTGAAAGTGACTGAGAGGATGGGCATGTCATAGTGTCTCTGGAGGATTTTCTTGGGATTGATGAGAATAATTTAGCAGTGACCCCGCTTTCGTTGCAATCTGCCCAGCTTATATGTCCATGCTGTTGTTGGCAGCAAGGTCATCACTGAGCTCGATAAGGCAAATGGCAGCAATTGCTTTGGTTCCTTTTGACCTGTTCAGATTTTCTAATCCAGAGATGAACTCTAGGAGCATTAAGGATGCTGAAATTTCATCGCAGGAGATGCACAAACAGTGTAGCAAACAGAAATCTTCAGCTAGGTTTTGGGGTTTCCTGTTTGCTTTTGTTGTTTCATTTTGCTTTTTTTAATCCTGTAGGTTTTATTGAAAAGTCAAGTGATTTTTTGCTCTTGAGTTTTAAAAGTTGGTGTTTCATTTCAAACTTAAGGCTAGGGCAAGATGGTTGTGTGAAATTTTTAATTTTAAAGTACCAATAGTTTGAGTTCTGTAGTATGTTCGGCTTCAAAAACTGTATGAATCTACATGGCAGAAATTTGAAAATTAATTGACCAAATGATACAGTGTTAGTAATCTGCTTTAGTTTATATTTAAAATGTACGGTGCTGAAAATAAATCTTCATTTTTGTTTCTGGAAGAAGAGTTTTACATTTTATAATTACTGTGAATGTAGAAAAAAAAAGTATCCAGCTTAGGATACGGCAGAACAATGCGGGGCACGCAGTTATTTTAGTCATCTAATATGTCAGCATTCAAGAATCTGAACCGATTGTTTAAAAAAAATCTTGTACTTTGTTTCTTTTGTTGCTCATTTCCAACTTTGTCATCTGTCAGAATGCAAAAAAAAATTATCCTTCTATAACCATTGACAGGATAACACAAAAGCTGTCTCCAGGTCGATATTTTGCAGCAATATTTTTAACATACGAACAGTAGTTTTTATAATTTCACCTTGGTGCTCAACCATTTATTATCGTATCAGAAGCATGTCAGTAATTCCTTTCTAAATGTCTGCTTCTTTTAGCGCGGAGACCCACATCAAGGGCTTCACACTGAACGATGCTGCCAACAGCCTCCTCATCATAACGCAAGTTAGGCGGGATTATTTGAAAGGTATGTCACAATGCTTGACCTTTACGTCACATTAATGCCTCTGCAGATTTTTCTTGTAACGCCCTTCGAATACTTGGATAAAGGAGTCCATTTAGCAAATTACCTGCTTATCAAGAGCCTTTTGTGGTAGCTGAGAGACGTAAATTACTGTACATGCATTTATAATACAGCTTGAATATGAATGTACTTGTCATTTGACCACTTAGTCCAGTTTCCATTCCATTTAACACAAGATGGGTTTTCTTAAGATGAATCACAGCTCTTCAGACATGCAAAATTTGTGTTCCAGAACGAGAGAAAGTACAGGCTTTCAAGTGCGTTAAAATTCACAGCACAAGTCATTTTGCTTTGGAAATTAACATACTTTAGAGCATCTGAAACAATTCCCAGCAGTTGTTTCTTGCATATTGTGTTGGTTGTGTGTGAGATAGCAAATGAGTTAAATTGAGTGTTAAATGTGTGGGATTGTGCACCAAATGATTATAATATTGATTTTTAAAACTTAATCTAATACTTTTTAAATAGTTCATAACACAAACAGCAATAAAATACAGTGTTTGTTTGAAGTTTAGGTTTTCAAATTAATGTTAAGAGAATGACACCTGAAAGATGTGGACATGACTTTGGGGAGGATTGGGGTGGGGGCCATTGGTTTGGTAGAGGCTGTTTAAGAGTTTTCAAGGGGATGAAATTGGATATGGAGGTCTTACGAATGATCTCCCAAGGGGGACTATGATGAATCTCTTAAATTTAGGTAAGTAACTTTCCACTTCAAGATTTACATTTGAATTTGAGTGAATACAGTGATACTGCAGTTTTGCCAATACAACAAAACCCACTTAGGAGATCTCTAAGGAAGGTTGAAAAAGCTCTGGAAGTGTAACCTCATTGTTTCCTCTCTCTGTAATAATGGTGTTATTCCTCATTGCATGTTTTGGTTTTGTTTTGTTTTAGGGTTTTGTTTCGGTTTTTGGTTTTTTGGTTTTTTTGGGTTTCTTTGAGATAGGGTCTCATTCTGTTGCCCAGACTAGAGTACAGTGGTGGGATGGCTCACTGCAACCTCCGCCTCCTGGGTTCAAGCGATTCTCCCACCTCAGCCTCCTGAGTAGCTGGGATTACAGGCGCCTGCCACCATGCCCAACTAATTTTTGTATTTTCAGTAGAGACAGGGTTTCACCATGTTGGCCAGGCTGGTCTTGAACTCCTGACCTCAAATGATTCTCCTGCCTTGGCCTCCCAAAGTGCTGGGATTACAGGCATGAGCCACTGTGCCCGTCCTGCATGTTTATCACATAATTTCACATCCTTGAGAGGAAGTTGTTGTTTAATTGTGCAACTTTAATGTTGCTTATAATACCTAAATGTACTGGTCTTTAGCTGTCTTCCTAATTGATTAGTACTGAATATGTAAGTGAATAGAAAACACTTTTTGTGCCCAGACTTTTGTGGCTAGGCGCAGTGGCTCACACCTGTAATCCCAGCATTTTGGGAGGCCGTGGCAGGAGGATTGCTTGAGTCCAGGAGTTCAAGACCAGCCTGGGCAATGTAGCGAGACCTGGTCTCTACAAAAAATTTTTAAATAGCCAGGCATGGTGGCATGCGCCTGTAGTTCCAGCTACTTAGGAGGCAGAGGTGGGAGAATCGTTTAAGCCCAGGAGGTTGAGGCTGCCATGACCCATGATGGTGCCACTGCACTCAGCCTGGGCAAGAGCGAAATCCTTCCCCTGGCCCCCCAAAAAATGACTTTATGTCCTGTTAGTATTTTATGTAATAAAATGATAAACAATTTTAAAACAATGAAAAGTTAAACTTGCTCGCCATATAAATAAGCTCATTGTCTTAAATAGCTTTTGTTTCTGTAGACATGGAGATAAGAACAAAACACTTTTCTGATTTCAGAGATTCATTTTTCAGCTGAATCTGACCCAAATTTCTTCAGCTTGATTGGTACCCTTTATTTTTATGTTAGGTGCCCTGTGTAAGCTACAGGAAAGGACATGGTATCATTTATCATCTACTCTTCTGAGCTGTTCAGCTCAACTGGAGGTTGCCTGAGAGCAGGAGCCTTGAACCCACTGTTGCGGCACTACCTTTTCCACCCCCACCCCACCCCCCTTCCTGAGCATATCACCACAAACCTGTTGTTGGAGTAAAATGATCATCAGTGAGGACAGGAGTGGTGTTTGCACTTATTTTGCTCCATGGCTGATGAGAGCTCTTAATTTTTAAAAGTCCCCTTCTGTTCTTCTGCCTTTCTCTGTTTTAGGTTTCTTTTTCTCAACCCCATCTAAAATAGGAAGAAAAAATAAAGCTGATTAAATTTTACTGTTGGTGAATATTAATAGCTGATACGTGGCACTTGTACAGTGTAATCAGTATCACTAGTGAGTAATTGTGTAAATGTTGGAATTAGGTGACAGTGGGAAAGGACCTGGGGTGAGGGATGTGGATGGGTATCATTTTTGGTGTCCCTGAAGTCATTAACTGTACAGAAGGCAAGCCTTATATGAGAGTAGGATTTAGGTCACAAGGTCCTGTGCTATCTTTGGACAGACATGAAATGGTCTGTTCTCCCCACCCTTCTGCTCTCTCGTGCACACACGCACTCGTAGATGGAAGCTCTGGGATCGTTGGAATCTTCGAGTCTTGTTTAAAAATATGACCTTACCTTGGGCAAACTAATCTCTGTGCCCAGGTGTCTCATCTGTAAAATTGGTACTTGTCTCGGAAGGGTAGTTGTGAGAGTAGCTGTTTAAACTGCTGTGCCTGGTATGTAGTAAATGCTCAATAAGTTTGAGTTACTGTCGTCACCATCATTAATCTTATTTTTGTTATTACCGTTTTAACGTACTGTGGGAAGATCCTCCCTAGCTGACAATATTCTTGGTTAATAAGACTATTATAATTATCTGTGTATGACCACCCAGTAACAAAATTTTATCAAGCCTATTATAAACTATATTTTTAAAATAGTATAAAAACATTTTTTGTTTCCTATATGTGCATGTGTATTTTTAAATTTTTATTGACTATGCTTTTTAAACTTTCTTTTTTCCCATTTTAGAATGAGTGGTTTAGATTGTATATTGCAAATAATTATAAATTGTTTATTCATTAATGAACACTAAATTCATCATGTCTTTCCACTGTATTTTTAGTAGACTTTAATTAATACCCTTTCCCCATTTTTCTGTAAAGCTAAGCTGTTCTTATTTGGAGAGTCTTAGTTTTGTCTAAGTTACATTGCTTTAGTTGCTGTAAAGCTATAAGTTTTCTTTGATAATGGTAGGGGTAATTGTTATGCTGTTCCTCAGTCTACCACTTTATTTCATATCATGATTTTGCTACAGTTTTATGAGTCAGTTAGCTAGAAGGCTATTCCATAGTTATTTACAATCAAGTACTTGAAAGTGTAATACTTCAAAAAAACATATAAACAAAACTCCATTGCTTATACAGATGCTGCTCAACTTACCGATGGGGCTAAGTCCGGATAAACTCATCTTAAGTTGACAATGCATTAACTACCCCATAAACCCATCGTAAGTCAGGGACTATCTGTATTCATGGTAATCAATAGGCTGCTTTTTTTTTAAATTTAGTGCAAGAAAATAATCACAGGGCATCTAATCATAAAATAAATTTGTTGGTGTGAAAGTTGAATGTTTCAGTTTGGAACATTGATCCTAGAGGGAGATACTGTTTTTGAGAAAGAATTGTTGGGATATTGAGTTTCGATGATCATTTAATCTTTGAGTTAATAAAATCTGGACAAGTATGAACATGGATAGAAGTCACACATTTTTGGAAACTCTAATTTTTAGAAACTCTTATTTATATTCATTTGAACTTATCAACTTTAGTCACTAAATGTTATCCCTAAATGGAACTCATATTGTCGGTAACATTTGTATTTTCTCTGTGCCTGAAAGAAGAAATTTCTCAGGCCTCAAATATCTTATGTAGTCAAGTACATAATTTTGGGGGGTATCTCATGAAGTATTAATATTTTCTGTAATCTAAATTATTCATAGCTTTTTGTATATGGCCATTTGGTGCTCATATTTAAAAGCTGGTTTTCAAAATGCATTAAAGTCAGCACAGGTCATATAAGAAAAGCCGTGTCTCCTGCTCTTGTATTTTAGAGGCTCTAACAACGCTGAAAACAGCATTGGATCAGCAGCAGACCCCTTCGGGGATAGCAGTGACCCGCCTCATCCAGGCATTGGCCATGAAGGGTGATGTTGAAAACATAGAAGTAGTTCAGAAGATGGTAAATGGACTCGAAGACTCCATTGGACTTTCAAAAATGGTTTTCATCAATAACACTGCTTTGGCACAAATAAAGAAGTGAGTATTTGCAAGCCTTCTTTTCCTTCATTGGCCACTAGAATGGGCATTACCTGAGATACCACCTTTTAAAAACTTTTAGACATGTGGAAACCATATCAACTGCAGAGGAAATGTTGATGTTGGTTGCTGATTAGGGAGTAATTATATGTTGAAAAATATGTTTTTTCTTTACCTTAAATCTTAGAATAAACAGCATTTACCAAATTCATAAATCTTGCTCCACAGTTGATAACCTTTCTCATTCCTGTGTATATATGTCAGACCTCTTGTCGAAACACTTTGTTCAGAAATGAAAAATGACCTCATTTGTTTGTCAGTAATATTTGACAGGAACACTAGTAGAATATTGTGAAGGAGAGGGCCCTGCAAGCTTGTTAAAAATGTGCATTTCTGTATTCATATTCCTTACCCACCCTGTGAACACAACCCCCCCCCAACAAAAAGGGAGGTATTTAGAGCTGATTTTCTTACCACTGTCTCTAAATTCCTTTTGAAAATTACCCCTATAGAAGTAAATAAGGACTTGATTTTTAATAAGCCCCCTAGCAAAGTACTTTATGGAATTTGATACTCTTAATATGTTTTTAGAAAAAATGTTCTTTAGTAATCTTGCATACATTTAATGGGACATGATATTAAAATGTAATGTTTGTTTTTGTAGGGTTTTTTTTGTTTGTTCTTTCTTCGAGCAGAGAAACAGTTGTGTTTTGTTTTGACCTTTTCAAACTATTTCCCCAAATACAACTTTCCTTTAATAAGAAAATGTGAGTGTTTTAAATCAGAAGATTGAGGAGATTACTCATCTAAGAACTGGGTGAATTTTAAAGTTTTACCATATAAACACAGTTTTATATGATTTGGAGAACATATTCACTATTAAGTAATTCTTTAAAACTTATAAGAAAAATATATTGTAACAGAGTATTCATTTTTAGAGAATTCTTATGTTTAATATAATTTCAACACAATATTGACTGATTGGATTTAGTATGCCATAACAGTAAGGTTTCCATTATAGATTACCTTAACCAAAAAGATAGAGATAATTTTTACCGTAACTTGCTAAATAAGACCATGTAACTGATTTTTTTTCAAAGTGTGAAGATACTTTTTCCTGAGGTTTTTAGTATAAATTGAGTATTTTCCAAATGTATCATACCTGACAAAAAGAAATTGAGGCGACTGTAAGTTAGAGACATGCATATATGCCTTTTGAAACATCAGTATCTTTAAGAACCTTGGGATGTTAAATATGATTTTTATGCAGTAGTGACCAGTTGTGGATCATAAAGCCAAAATTATAGCATTTATACAAGTTTTTATTTTATATCCAAAGAGGGGCAAAAATATTTAAGATACAGAATTTTTTAAGTTATCTTCATTAATTCTCCTGTATATAGTTGTTTGATCTTGTCTGTAGAGCATTGTTAAAACAAGCAACTATTTCAACTGCTGTGAAATAAGATAAGCAACCACAGTAGCATGAACCAGCTAGTGATTGTTTTTGCTACTTAAATGTGATTGGGTTTCAGTTGCAGTGTTTTTATTTGATTACTTGTGAATGTATTTCATTTTTTTCCTAAAGTATTAGCATGAGTGGATATAAAAGTAAGTTCTTATACTAAACTGTCTGCAATATTAATATAAAAGCAAATTTTAAAATAATTTATTTTGCTTTTTTCTAACAGCAATAACATAGATGTCGCAATAGAAAACATTGAAAATATGCTTACTTCAGAGAATCCAGTCATTGAACGCCAATACTTCGGCTTGGCATACTTATTCAGAAAAGTAATAGAGGAGCAGTTGGAACCAGCAGTTGAAAAGAGTAAGTTAGTTGTTTATGCTAAAGAACACAAAAGCACATTTTCTCTCTAGTGAGACTAGACCAAATTTCTTTGGTAGGTGAGTTATACCACTGTTCTAATGATTTTTCTTACCTGTCATTTTTCCAGTAAGCATCATGGCAGAGAGATTGGCCAATCAGTTTGCAATTTATAAACCTGTCACTGATTTTTTCCTTCAACTTGTGGACGCAGGCAAGGTGGACGATGCCAGAGCTCTCCTACAGGTAATGACCCTCCACTCATGGAGCAGTGGGGCTCGAGGCTTGCAAGAAGTAAACTGAGAAATTCCTAGACATAGGTGTGTGGTGGAATACTGGAAATTCAGTGTGGTGCGCAGCTAGCCTGTTTAAATTCAGTGTGAATCAAGGTTGCAGGACAAGGACTGGATGGTAGGTTTTAGGTTAGTTGTTTTTAAAGATCCCAGATCAAACCAGAAATGTTCTTAGAATTAAGGTTGGAAGGGAGTGGGGTGGGGAGTAGGTAGGGGCAATGAGTTTTGCTGAAATAATTAAAGGCAAATGTTTCTGTGCAGATAGGTAATGCAAAACAACAATTTCTTTGATTTTCTACTTTAATTTCTCAAATGCTCTAGATACTGTGCATCACCATGGCAACACAGTTTGCAAACAAAAAGTAGGAAATGTTTGCTTTTCAAGTACAGCTTCTCACTTGAATACTCAAACATTCTCGGTGCCTTATTCAAGGTTTATTAAGAGTTGAATATGTTTTCTATTCACTTGTGTGTCACAGACACATTAAATGACAAATGCAGGTCTCTGTGGCCCGCACTCTCAGTTAAATTAGCAATCTTCAGCGAAGGAGACAACTGCATTCATGCCATTTTAACAGCACTAAATATAAAGCTACGCCAAGTGCCGACAGAACGGTGGGTGATCGGAGCTGCCACTGGCAATGTACACAAACAGGCACCGCCGGGGAGCCCCTTCCCAGCAGGTGGCAGTCAAACAGTCACCGTGATCCCGCCAGCGGCTGTGTTTGTGTAGACTCCCTGTGTCAAATTGAGGCCTGGGACCAATTTCTGATCGTAAATAGTATTATATTCCCTTACATTTTTACCAGCTGCGGAAGATGTTAAGTAGTAGATAGGGAAGGTAAAACTGTACCCATGTGCTTGACCTCCAGTTTTGATCCTTAAAGTTCATCTAGTTTGACAGTAGAATCCAAGCCATTTTTAAAAGGAATTCTTGAAAAACTGGGTCTCTGTTAATAGTTTTATAAAGGATGAATTAGCACTGCTTCTCAGACTCTTACTTTTGTTGCTGGAGAAGAGAAATTCCAGTTCACTGGGAATTTTCTTGCTTTGTTTGGCTTGTTTACTTTTTTTTCCCTTTGATTTTTTTTTTTTTTTTTTTTTTTAATTTTAAGGAAAAGGCAGTTTATGATAGGGATTTCAGGACTTTTAAAATTGTTTTATTTTGCTATCTTCCGTGGTTTAAAAAAAAAAATACTCATGCTTTATCTTCATACGTACATATCTAAGTACCTACTAGGGGTGTAATAAGCATATACATATCTAATTTTACACATGATGGTATGCAATCAGTTTTAACACATCCTTTTGATAGTTCTTTAGAAAGTGGCACTTGGTACTTCATCTACCAGCTTGTTCTCTGCCATAATCAAGGTTTTTCTTGAAGAGCACGATTGACAGCTGCCTAGGTGGGAGGCAGCAGGGATGGTACCTACTCCCTCAGAAAGAACTGCGTTATGTGCAGTGACCTCACCGAAGGGCTCTTGGTGGTAGCTGAGTGTTGATGCCACAGCAGAGTCTTTTCATTTACCATCTCATCACTAGACTGGGGTTTCAGATGATAAACCCTTCACCCATCCTTTACCTGCTTGTCAAACAGTAAGAGATTATTCTTGCCGTAGCGAAGAATACTTTATTCACAGATGTCAAAAACATCAGTGCATAATGTAAATGTTCTGTGTGTCCCTAAAAAGTTCTTTTTATACCATTAGTTTTAGTATTGACAGTGTTTTAAAGCTTTGAAAGAGCAGTGTTCTTTTAGAAACTTAAAAGAATGACATCTGTGATGAGTGTAAACTAAAATATTGTCTTAGCCATATTTGATTTTACTATAGCATCTAAGATTGGATAGACACTTGATTTATCTGGTCTGTCATATAAACTTTTTTTTGAGTTTAACTTTGGTCTCTTTCTCAAGCGCTGGCTGTCTGTTGCAATGAAAGCCTTTTATAAAATAGAGAGATTGAAATCAGTCCTTTTGTATGCATAAGTGTAGGTAATTATACTTTAAAGAGAACTTGCTTTGTACATTTTAATTTTTATAAAGAAACGAGCAGTTATCTCCCTGACACCTTATTAAATGTATAATTAACCTTATGATCCCTAGCTCACTTGTGAATGCTTGGCAGTATAATTGGAGAGGAATAGTGTTTCTTTTTTTCCTCTTTCTTTGCAGTCCTAAACCTTATTCTGTGGTTGTTGAAGCATTAGTTTAATTTTTCCCTTTTCTTTTTAAACAAACTTTATACTTGCAATGCCAAGGACAGCATTTAGTAAAGCTTGGCATAGCTTACACTTGTTTTCTTTTTTCTTGCCTTAAAAAATAATAGTCGACTATTAGGCCTTCCTATTGGTAATAATACACTACTGTATTATTGTGAACTTTCTTAATTGGAAATATTCAGTTTGATCCGCTTGTTTATCAGAAACCTTCACTTACTGAATAATGTTTTAATTTTTAGAGATGTGGTGCAATTGCTGAACAAACCTCGATTTTGTTGGTGTTCTTCCTTAGGAATTCTGGGAAACGAGGAAAGGTACTCTGCTTTACTTGCTAACAAATCAACGATACTGCACGTGCCTTGCTCAGAAGTATTGAATTTAACGTAAAAGCCTATTGGTTCAGGACCTTATTTGAGAATACTGTAGAGATTCAAGACTTTTCTTGTCTTTACTTACTTACTTTTAGAGGATGTTGATAGAGTCAGTTTTGTCATCTTTTAGCTGTAACTAGAAATGTAAAACAAGTTCATGCAGGAATTTTCCACTTACATAGTTATGCATTGAGATCTCCAAGAAAAGGCCCTTAAAAACGCAAGATTAGGCCAGGCATGGTGGCTCACACCTGTAATCCCAGCACTTTGGGAGGCCGAGGTGGGTGGATCACTTGAGGTCAGGAGTTTGAGACCAGCCTGGCGAAACCTTGTCTTTACTTTAAAAAAAAAAAAAAAAGGAAGATTAAAATTACATTGCTTAGGTCACCTTGGGACAGTTAACAATGCAGAAGCACTGCCAAAAGAAATGTATACTCCAGAGTGTCTCCCAGCACGTGGCTACTTTTGAGCATTTATCAGGTGTAAACCATCAGGTAAATGAGCCACTTGGCTTTCAAATTGATATGGAGCCACAAATATTCTAATTTGTACAGTTACTTTTTTTTTTTTTACACTGTATAAGGAAGGGGTGGGTGAGTGTGTAACAGAACCAAGTCCTTTTGAAAAATTTATTATTGTAAAAAGTTTCTGTGGGTACATAGTAGGTATATTAAATTCTATTGATGTTTAACAGTAAGTATAAAATTAAATTTCTCTTAGATCTCATTTTACCTCTTGTACACCAGAAACTACATTCTTAGTTTATTTGGGTTCTTTATGAAGTTTCAAACCACATGCCGACTGTGATGCTTGTTTTATTTGAAACATTTAGGCTGTGTCCATTTTGGGAGATCTACGTTTTCCTTAATTTCTACACACTTCCCCTAAATATACCTACACTTTTTAAAAATTTGCTTCATTGCATCTATGACTCATGTATTTATTTACTATAAACAACTTTTAGAAAGTATTTAATTGCCCTTTCTTTCCTGTCAGAGGCTACGTTTTTATATTTGTGATTAAAAAGTACAAGGAATCTGAAAAGCACTTGTCAGTCCACATTTGGGATTGTGCCAAGTCCCTGTTCCCTTGTCCAGGAGATGGGACGGGAAATGCACAGCAACGTATCTGCTTAGAACATTCCACCCAGGAGAGTTTAAAATAGAAGAAGCCCTGGGAGGATGCAGGTCCAGGTGTGGACTGAATAAACATGCTATAAAAAGGAGTTAGGATTTTTAAGATGCCTGTTAACAGTGTTCCATTGTTTGACAGTAAAATAGTTAAGCCAGATTTTGCTCCTCTTGGTGAGATAGGAAGAAGGCATAAATGTTTATATGTCCATCATGGATTTATCCGGTGATGTTGGAGTAGGGTGGGAAATACTCAGCAGATATTCATTAGGGCATAGCAGTTCTGTATTCACTTGCTACAGGAAATAAAATCATAGCTGAGTCTGCTTATTCCCTGGAAGAAATAAGTAAAAATTTCAGTGAGATCCTGGAAATACTCTTTTTTGTATGTCAAGTGGGTAAAACTTCAGAATGTTTTAACTGAATTCTTTACAATTTCATCAACCAGTTGTGGCACCTAAAGATAGGGTTATCTCTCTACCCTTGGGAATCTTATAACTTCTTGGTATGGTATGGTCACCACTTGACAAAAGAAGCAATGTTTTTCATATTCTAGGAAAATATTTGTAGAAATGTAAGTGGAATTGCATTAACTGTGAAAAATGCTGGTTTGTTTTAGCTGTAGATTATTGAGTCAATATCAAATGCTAATATACAAGGGACAATAGTCCATTAAATTGAATAGGCAGTTCTGTTATAATTATTGTGAAAAATTTTAATATAGGGTTGATTTGTCAGTGTTCTATTTCACTGTTAATTTGAGGTTTTGGTAATATTACCTTTATTTAATTTCCTAGGCATCAACTCTGAAATCTCTGTTAGAATTGATTCCTGAATTAAACGAAAAGGAAGAAGCATATAGTTCCCTCATGAAAAGCTATGGTAATATAAGTTTAATTTGACTATATTATTAGATTATTTAAATGGCTTTATTAAGTGACTATATTATGTAAATGACTTGTAGTATAGTCAACTAAGTCAGTCTTCAGCTCAAAGGCAGTAATCCTAAATATCAGATAATTATGATATAAATAACTCAGTGCTGGAATATGTTTTTAAACCATATATTAAGAAAAATATGAAATTATGCATATAACTTTAAAAAGTATTACTGAACATCTTCCGAGCAGTCCAGGTATATTGAGTAGAATCCCAGTCTCCTGGGAAGACCTAGAAATCCTCTTGGACTTATATATGAGAAACTAGTTCAGTCTCCCCAAGGGCCTGCCACCTGAAACAAGCAGAAATTTGAGACTCACTTAACCGGCCTTCTTGCTCCTTCAGTACCCTCTCTGCTTGCCTGCTACTCCTTTGAAATGATAGACCCTTGATTAAAAAGTAGCCCAAGGTTTTTACGTCCCAGTTCAAATTCTGGTCTTTTAACCAGTTTGTTCCCTGATTGCCAGACAATCACATATGAAAGGAAACTAGTCTAAAGTTTCCTCAGTCATCAAAATAAATGTTAGCGTTTCTCAATCATGATCGCCTCTCCATCTGTTGCCCACTGATTTGCTCACTGGAGGCATGGGGTAAATAATTGCTTCATTGATTTTATCTATGGGAGGACAACAGACTCAGGAGTCAGAATTAGTAAGTCAGTTCTCTTTTTCTATACTTCTGAGGAGAACATTCTGTATTTCAAAATAGAGATATAGTCATAAAATTTCTCAAATTTCCAGTAACTAACCACAGGCATACCTGGAAGATATGGTTCCAGACCACCACATTAAAGCAAAAATATAATGAACAAAGTGAGTTACATGAATTTTTTGGTTTCCCAGTGCATATAAAAGTTACATTTACACGATAGTGTAGTGTATTAAGTGTGCAATAGCGTTATGTTTTTTAAAAATACATACCTTAATTTAAAATACTTTATTGCTAAAAATAGTTAACAATCATCTGAGCCTTCAGTGAGTCGTAATCTTGCTGGTAGAAGGTCTTGCCTTAATGCTGATGGCTGAAGGTTGAGGTGTCTTAAAATAAGACAACAATAAAGTTCGCCACATCAACTGACTTTTCCTTTCATGAAAGATTTCTCTGTACTATGCGATGTTGTTTGTTAACATTTATCTGCAGTTGAACATCTTTTCAAAATTGCAGTCAGTCTTCTCAAACCATACAATTGCTTTATTAACTAAATGTATGCGATACTCTAAATCCTTTGTTGTCATCTAAACAGTGTTCACGGCATCTTCACCAAGAGTAGATTCCTTCTCAAGAAACCACTTTCTTTGCTCATCCGTAGGAAACAGCTTCTCATCATGTTAAGTTTGATCATGAAATTGCAGCAGTTCAGTCACATCTTCAGGCTCCACTTCTCCTTCTAGTTGTCTTGCTATTTCCACCACATCTGCAGTGATTTCCTCCACAGAGATCTTGAGACCCTCGAAGGGGTTCATCCACGAGGGTTGGAGTCAGCTTCTCCCAAACTCCTGTTAACAAATGTTCTTAATGGCATCTAGAATGGTGAACCTTTCCCAGAGGGTTTTCAGTTTACTTTGCCCAGATCCATCAGAAGAATCATTGTCTGTGTCAGCTATAGCCTTATGAAACATGTTTGTTTTTGTTTTAAATTTATTTTTAAAACATGGAATGCTTTACACATTTGCATGCCATCTTTGTGCGGGGGCCATGCTAATCTTCTCTGTATCATTCCAATTTTAGTGCATGTGTTGCCGAAGTGAGCCCAAAATGTATAAGACTTGAAAGTCTAGATTACTCCTTGATCTATGGGCTGCAGAATGGATGTTGTATGAGGGCACCTGAGAACATTAATCTCCCTGTATATCTACTTCAGAGCTCTTGGGTGCCACCAGGTGCATTATCACTGAGCAGTAATATTTTGAAAGGAATCTTTTTTTTCCTGAGCAGTAGGTCTCTACAGCAGGCTTTAAATACTCAGTAAACCATGTATAAACATCAGTGCTGTCCTCCAGGCTTTGTTGTTCCATTTATAGAACACAGACAGAATAAATTTAGCATAATTCTTAAGGGCCCTAGGATTTGGGAATGGTAAGTGAGCACTGGCTTCAACTTAAAGTCACCAGCTGCATTAGCCATTGAAAATAGAGTCAACCTGTCCTTTGAAGCCAAGCATTGGCTTTTCCTCTCTAGCTATGAAAGTCTTAGATGACATCTTCTAATATAAGACTGTTTTATCTACATTGTGTATCTGTCATTCGGTGTAGCCGCCTTCATCAGTGGTCTTAGCTAGATTTTTTGGATAACCTGCTGTAGCTTCTGCATCAGCATTTGCTGCTTCACCTTGGACTTTTATGTCATAGAGATGGCTTCTCTCCTTAAACCTCAAGAACCAGCCTCTGCTAGCTTCAGACTTTCCTTTTATAACTTCTTCACCTCTCTCAGCCTTCATAGAATTGAAGAGTGTTAGGGCCTTGCACTGGATTAGGCTTTGGTTTTTAAGGGAATGTTGAGGCTGGTTTGATCTTATATCCAGACCAATAAAACTTTCTCCATTTCAGCAGTAAGGCTGTGTCAGTTTCTTATCATTTGTGTGTTCAGTGGAGTAGCACTTTTAATTTCCTTCAAGGACTTTTCCTTTGCATTCACAACTGGCTGTTCCACGCAAGAAGCCTCGCTTTCAGCCTATCTCAGCTTTTGACATGCCTTCCTCAGTAAGCTAAGCTTAATCATTTCTCACTTGATTTAAAATGAGAGATGTGTGACTCTTCCTTTCACTTGAACACTTAGAGGCTATTATAGTTTTTAATTGGCCTAATTTCAATATTGTTGTGTCTCAGAGAATAGGGAGGCCTGAGGAGAGGAAGACGGCAGAACTGCTAGTCAACATCGCAGTCAGAACACATTTCTCACGTTTGCCGCCTTCGTGTGCATGGTTCATAGCACCCCCCAAACAATTACAGTAGCAACATCAAAGATCACTGGTCACAGATCACCATAACAGATATAACAATAATAAGTTTGAAATATTCCAAGAATTACCAGAGTGTGACACGGAGACACAAAGCAAGCACGTACTGTTGGAAAAATGGCATGAATAGACTTGCTCAAGGCAGAGTTACCACAAACCTTCAATTTGTAAATAACGCAACATCTGTAAAGTGCATTAAAGCCAAGGTATGCCTGTAATGTAAAATCGTGTCAAATGCCTAAAACTATATGTGTTACTACTAAATTAGGTAATCCATCTTGGGAGGAAGGTAGAAAAATCAGGAAGTAAAGAAAGGCAAGTTGCTGGAATTTTCAGAGCAGCTTCCTAGAAGATAGAGCTTGAGCCCTTGATAGTAGTAGGGAAAGGGTTCAGCTCCTTAGGGAGGGGAATAAAGGATTTACACAAGAAGTTGACTTCATGGAAACAGCAAAGATGTGTTCCAACTCCTCTAAGAGCTGATGAGTCATTCACCCTCATTCCACTCTGGGAGACTGTGATTGCTGAACTTCTCATATCCACGTTAGGGGGATCCCCTGGTGCTGCTGGAGTTGCGATTGACAATATCAGAGTCAGCGTAGGGCAAGGGTTTATTTGGTGGTTAGATGCTAACAATCTAATGCAAAATTAAAGAGTTGAATTACCAGCAGTAATTGTTAGCAGAGACCTTACGATCTCGATGGTAAACTAAAAAATTTCCACAAGTCAGCCACAAGTAGACAGCCAGCCAAATTTGGCTCCTAAGTTATTTTATCATTCACTTAAGTGAAACTAGTGTAACTTGTTAATGTCTTCTTATAGGTTTTTATTTTTTTTTTTTGAGACGGAGTCTTGCTCTGTCACCCAGGCTGGAGTGCAGTGGCACGATCTCGGCTCACTGCAAGCTCCACCTCCCAGGTTCACGCCATTCTCCTGCCTCAGCCTCCCGAGTAACTGGGACTACAGGTGCCCGCCACCATGCCCAGCTAATTTTTTGTATTTTTAGTAGAGACGGGGTTTCACCGTGTTAACCAGGATGGTCTTGATCTCCTGACCTCGTGATCTGCCCACCTTGGCCTCCCAAAGTGCTGGGATTACAGGCGTGAGCCACCGCGCCCGGCCTGTAGGTTTTTTTTGTGTGTATCACTGTAGCTAACTATATTCTCCATATTTATTTCACAATAGAAAAATGAAAAACTTTTTTGGTGTTGAGCTGATGATCTTGATGTAGATTTCTCCATAATTGACATGTCCCTCTCCACAACAGTTCCTGGATTATCTTGATTTCAAAGTGGTTTTAAGCCAAAGGGGATTGAATGGTAGGTGTGTGTATTATTTTATAACTGAGGACTTCAGTTTGTGGTCACTTGAACTATCATAGGTCTTCAAAATAATAACCTAAGTGAATGGTACCATTAATATTATTCTAAAGGCCTTTAAATGTAGCCATATTTGTCATTTTCTTCTCCTTCAAAGTGAGTGATGCTGAATGAGAGATGTAGAGAAGTAGTGAGGGAGATGGTAGATTCTGAGCATGGCTTCTTACTGAAGGTAGTTAAGTGTTCATTTGCCATGGGATGAAGGGATCCAGCCATCCCTGAGTGGCTACGTGTTTTGGTGAAAAGAGTAAGATAGGTTGTCTTTATCTCTGATTAATATAGTTTTTTCTTTGTCAGCCTCAGAGAAAGATGTCACATCTGCTAAAGCACTGTATGAACATTTGACTGCAAAGAATACAAAATTGGATGATCTGTTTCTCAAGCGTTACGCAGTTTTGCTGAAGAATGCTGGAGAGTCTGTCCCTTTCACTGAACCCCCTGTGAGTATTTCTTAATTAAAGGGAAAAAATACCTCTACAGATTTATGTACGCTTCATAACAATGTATAAGAAAATAAGTTGAAGACTTAATTACATGAGGATTAGATCTCTGTGAAGAACCCTCAGGGGATGGCTGGAGGGACTGAGCAGCGTGCCTTGGCTGCAGCAGTGGGAGAACATAGCTCTCTAGGGCCACAGTTTAAAATACAAGGTCTGTCTCAGACCTTCAGCTATAGGCATGGATTTACCAAATGTCCTTGGGGCAGTTCTATCATTTCAACTTGAAATAGGATTTAATGGCCTGTAGTTCAACAGCCAAGCATATTATGTCACTGGTAATTACTTGTTCATTTACATAAGTTGGTTTTTATTTCTTCATGTAGGAAAGTTTTTTTTTTGGAAACGGAGTCTTGCTCTGTCGCGCAGGCTGGAGTGCAATGGCGCGGTCTCGGCTCACTGCAAGCTCCACCTCCCGGGTTCAAGCGATTCTCCTGCCTCAGCCTCCCGAGTAGCTAGGATTACAGGGGCCCGCCACCATGCCTGGCAAATTTTTATATTTTTAGTAGATATGGGGTTTCACCATGTTGACCATGCTGGTCTTGAACTGCTGACCTTGTGATCCACCCACCTTGGCCTCCCAAAGTGCTGGGATTACAGGCGTGAGCCACTGCACCCGGCCTGTTTTCTTTAATAAGAGAAATCACATATGCACAATTCCTTTTTGTTGCATCATTGAACTGAAAGTCACTATACCATGTTTATTTCGAACACCTCAGCCTTCCATACCCAGGTGTAAATACCTCCATATGTGCACGTACACACATGCTTGCACATACACACGTACCCTAACTCCTGCTAACTTTGACTCTGAACCCAAGGCCCTTGAACTTGTGATTTAATGAAACAAGAAGGTGTGCTGAAGCTTGAGGGGTAGCATTTCCATGGGCCTGGCCGTCTTAGCTACCAGTTGGTAGTGTTTATGATTTTTTTAAGTTTTGTACCATCACCTCTTGCTGGTAGCTTTATCTCTAACTTCCCTCTTTTTTTCTCCTTAACAGGAAAGCTTTGAATTTTATGTACAGCAGGTAAAAGAATTGAGGGAAAATTCTTCCTGAAAAAGCAGGCGATACTTTGTTTTGTATATATTTGTGATTCTGTGTCTACATGTTATTTTGAAGTGTATTGAAGGGAAAAATAAATGAAAATTTTCTTTATGTGTGACACATGTTCAAAATCTTATTGACCATAACTGTGCGCTTGGTTATTGGACATTTTTGGAGGTTTTTTCCTCTGGCATAAATTGATAGCATTTTCCTCAGTGCTGCTGCTGTGGGAAGCCATACTTTTTCAAGATTCTTCCCCTAATTGGCTCTTTGGTTTCCCTGCTCTGTTTATTTCATTAAAATGTTATTCCTTTATTTAAGACTCACTTATTAGTCTGCTGTTTCTCTGAAAAATTTTAGAGCTAAGTATAGTGATCGTGAACTTTCTATTGCATAATATTCTGCAATATAACAATTCCTTACGTGTGTGAAGTCCTGCATAACTTTCAAATTTCATTAAATGTTGGCACTAGGAGTCATCAGATCTAGCCTTCGTCATTTTCCAGTGAGAAGCAGAGACCCAAAGGGCCTGTCACTTGTGCTTGTTCAGGGGGCTGTCTGTCATGCCTGGAGGCTCTTCGGCATACTTCCCCCTCTTTCCCTTCTGCCACCGTGGCTTCCAAGCACCTCTGTTCATAGAACGTCTCTGAAATTAAGTCTTGGTCATGACTTATCCCAAAGTAGAGCGATGTGTTTCCTCTCATTTTAGTTTCAGGACTTTGTCAGCACAAGCTCTGCCCTAGGCTTGTTACTTTATACTCATATCCTGAAAAGATGTGGCTTCATCTATGAAGGGGCAAAATACTGGTTTGTGTTTAATTTTTTGAAATAAAAGTTATCCCTGTATTGACTCTCATGCCTGTTAGTATCTACACTGTAAATAGTGACTTCAAAAAAAATTCTAAGATAGGTAGTCAAGAGAGTTTGCCATTATAAAACATGTCTTAATATGGAATATCGACCTAACTGGAGATGAGGTAATTAATTACCAAAATGTTGAAAATGTTTTGAGAACTCTTCCGATTTTGGGGTATTCCTTGTTCATTTGAATTTGGTGAGTCCCTGCTGTTCAGTTTCAATGCCAACTTGGGTCACACTGTTCACATCAGGGGAGACCTTGCCTTGGGGACATAGGCAGGCTGCTTGCAACTTGTGCTGTTGACCTTCTGTCTTGTGGGACTCTCTCTCCTGCATCTGCTACCTGCCCGCAGATGGTGTGAGAGGGAGGGTTGATGGCAGGAAGCCAGAAAGTAAATGTCGTCATGGTATTAGCCAGGCTTTTACTTCAACTCTTTTTATGGCCTTAGATTTAAGGAAGCAGGGGGCGTGGCCAATGTTGAGTCTTGGCCCAGTGGACATAGTGCCTTGAGCACTGCCCAGGTCCAGGACCTGCACATGTTACAGGTTTGCCAAGTGTCTTTTTTTTTTTTTCTTTTTTGAGATAGAGTCTTGCTCTGTTGCTCAAGCCAAAGTGCAGTGGTGCAATCTCAGCTCACTGCAACCTCTGCCTCCCGAGTTCAAGTGATTCTCGTGCCTCAGCCTCCCAAGTAGCTGGGATTACAGGCGTGCGCCACCATACTCAGCTAATTTTTGTATAGTAAAGATGGAGTTTCACCATGTTGGCCAGGTTGGTCTCGAACTCCTGGCCTCAAGTGATCCTCCCCCTGCCCTCGCTTCAGCCTCCCAAAGTACTGGTATTACACACCTGGCCAAGAGCCTCACTCCTGTGTACATCTTTAGTGATTGCACTGAAGCAGGCCTTATTTTTTGCAGTCATGCTAACGACAAGTTAGTCAACATTCACTAATTGACATTAAAATAGGTCTCCAAGGTGAGGCATAACCTTGGGGTGTAATCTGGATTTCACAATCTTTGGGGAAACTGAAAGTACCATCTCATGTGCATGAAGTGACTCCACACTGGCCCTGTACGTTGACTCTGGTAAAATGTGAGTGTAATACAGAGGAAATAGGTAAGACCCCCTTATCTAGAACTCTAAACAGCAGCGGGGGGTGTTACAAAGGACTAGCTATTCAGATATCTTCTGCACTGTATTGGTTCCCCTATTGAACATAAATATTTAAAGTATAATAACTGTATACTGTAGGTGGGCTTTTGAGTGTTCTAAATA